TGTGTGTGTGTGTGTGTGTGTGTGTGTGTTTTGAATTTTCATCACAACAGCCCCTATTCCACCCAGATGAGTAGATCCAAAATTGAAGCAGCGTTAGTCCTACTGCAGACAACAAAAACACTCGAGTTTTAGACAAACCAACGATGAAACAGTTGCCTTTACAGCAAGCAACATGGAGCAAAGTAGAAGCGTTTAAATCCCTTTCTTAACTGTGTTCACTTGGCTTTTTTGGGTCCCCATTTCATTTGTCCTTGCAACCCTTTTACCGTGCCTCTCATGTACAAGGCTCGCCAAATTGACTGTGGTTGAGCGTGAGCTGCCCACATCCCCGTGTGCCATATTGGCCCACTTGCACATTATGAAAGGAGGCAGAGTAAATGCGGATGTATATTCCTGTTCATTTTTCCTCAGATGTTCAGCTTATGTTTTCTGTTCTCTTAACCATGCTCATCTGTATGCGTTTACTAGTAGCACAGAAGATGAGGGAAGAAGGGAATAGGAGGTGGAGGGAAGAAGGAAATAGGAGGTGGCGTTCTCACAGGGATCTCAATACTCACCACTGGAGCAGACTACTCTAGAATGACTCGTGAGGCCGGTCAGTGTTTGCCACTGTTAGGGTTGCATAAGATTTTTAGTTGAGGCGCAGCCGTTGCCTATGGTGTGTGTGTGTATGTGTGTGTGTGTGTGTGTGTGTGTGTCTGTGTGTGTGTGTGTGTGTGTGTGTGTGTGTGTGTGTGTTGTTTTAAAAGACCCCAGATTCTCTCTCTCATTCCCTTCATAAATCATCACAAGCCATCCATAACGAGAAAGTATAGAAAATGCAGGGTTGGCCACGTTTGTGTGGTTCAGCGCTAAGTGCCCACACACCTGTCTGCCGCCAAAGCGACACACTTGCACAAATACATATGTATACATATATATCGTCATAATTCAAACCATAAGGGGATGGAGGGCAGAAGGCAACTTACCTACGACGGAAGACTACTCCAGCAAGAAGGCACCGACCCGACCCGACCCCCTCGAAGGTCCAAAAAAACTTGGAGAGCCTTCCGCATCAACCCACAAAACCAAAAACTCATTTACGAAAAACAAACAAATATAACAGCACTGGCATTCCCGACAGTCATCTCAAACTACACACTCGCGTCACTGCCAAAGAGGAGGAAGAAGATTTGAGACAACTTACCTAAGACAGAAGACTCCTCCAGCAAGAACGCACCGACCTCCCTGCTAAGGGTCCAAAAAAACTGGGAAAGCCTTCCACGCCGGCCCGCTCTCTGTGTGTGTGTGTGTGTGTGTGTGTGTGCGTGTGTGTGTGTGTGTGTGTGTGTGTG